ATCAGTATTTTATAGTTTAAAATAATTTAAATAATAAATATTTTTTAATATATATTATAATGAGATAAAATAGTAATTGAATCAACTTAGAAATGATATTCGAAGTTGATGCACTCTTAAATTTCGTTTTTTTAGTATAAGGAACATAATTTTCGTTCGTGGATGTACTCTAAAAAGGTTTCTTGGAGCAAAAGAATTATAATTTCGGTTCTTTTGGGAATATAATTACCGGTAAACCTCCTTGTCGGTGACATGTTCCTTTTATGTGGAAAAATCACGTACATTGCATATTTGGATATATTTATGGCCAAAAAATATTTGTATACATTTAAATTACTTAATTTTTTTACGATAAAAATTTACTTAACCTTTAATTTCAAAATTAATATTTTTAAAATTAGTGAGTATAATAAATTACATTAATTATTCAAAATTCACAAGAATTTAATGCCAACTAGTTCCTGTGCAGGCCAATAGCACTTCCAACTCAAAAATTCCTATCTTGTACCCTGAATTGCAACAACTCTGGTCAGCAGCTTTAACGCTCAAAATTCCAAAATTGTACCCCATTCTATTCATCATTTTATGACACTGTGTACCACCTCCCTCTTACCATCAGTTCTCTAGTCTAGTGGCATAGTTGTAGGCACTCTTAATCTTTAAGGATAAGATTTAATCTCTAATTTTTACACTAAAAAAAAATTTTAACTTTGTTTGCCAGCATTTTATCTAGTAGAAATTCATTAATAGGGTTTGAAATTTCATATTTGCCTTGGAGCTTTTAGGCTCCCTATCCTTCATCTATTAAGAGGTTTTTTTAATAGAGATAAAGTTGAAATAAAAGCATTAAATGTCTATATATCTAAATATAACAAGTGATAATTATTTTTTTATTTTTTTTTGTTAAGTGTGATAATTAAAGTTGAAGAAAGATAATAATTAATTAATATTGGTTGATAAATGCTTCAAACTGGTTAAACAAAGTGTTAAGATCTTGAAAGATTTCATATTTTGAGTGAGTTATATAGAGAAACGGATGATCTAAAACCGAAGGAAACGAATGCTTAGAAATGCAGCAAGGGAGGATTTGATGATTATGCATTATGTACAAATAGGGTAAATGTTGAATTACTGTGGAGAAAAAGTCGGTTTGGAAGCTAGCCTGGTGGCTAGTCCTGCGATGTAGCTAAGACCCATCCACCTAATTTCTACCAAAGAAGTAATATGTGACCACAAAGCACTGACTGCAGAAGACTTTTATACTCAACGGGTGCAACCTGCAGCAATCACCCTTCTTCGGGGCTTTAGCTCTCTGTGAGAAAGAGAGACCACCATGTCCTAGAAATGGCTAAATTGACTTTACATTTCCTGTTTCTAGAAGTAGCTAGACTGGATATCTAAATTGACAATTTTTGGAGATGGGATTTCTTGATTATATCCAAAGTCCAGTACTAGGAACTGTTATATTGACATAAACAGAGTATGGAATCCAATTAAACCAAATCTCACTTAGGGTGATTCGTATGATATACTCTTGATGATAAAAAATTCTAACCTAGAATTGTGATATCACATTAACAGTATCTTAATTTAATGAAGTATACATTATTCTACTTACCTCTTTTATAATTTATAAATAAATAAATAAACAAATTATGTTTAATATGTACTATAATCATTAAAGAATGATGGGCCTTTGATATTAAAATGGTCCTCAGTTTCTATCAATAGTTATAAAATATATAATTTACATTGCAAACTCATAAACAAACATGATCTAAATGCTAAACCAAATTAAAGAACGCTTGAAAATGCCAGCAATTTATGCTTATTTCAGTCGTTTTTTTGCCATACACTTTTTTCTCAAACTTGTGTTATACTCTGTAGAATACGCCATTCTTGCAGTGTGCTCGGTCCCAAGAGAGAAAATGAAGGACTTGACAAGCCAATCCCAACGCCAGTTTGTCCTCAAATGAAGCAAAATAATCGAAAGGGGAAAAGGCTGAGTTGGGTTGGAAAATGGGAGCTGGTTTTCGTGTTTGCAATGTGGAGGGCTTTGGTCCACTTTGGCATCTCTAGGGGTAAGGGACAGGACCACAAGCAAATTCGTCTGTTCACTGTTCATTTGTAGGGGTTTTGGTGTTCTATGGTAGGAAATCTTCAGGGAGTGGTGTAGGGGATGTGGTCGTTCCTGTTTTCCCATGTCAAGAGCATTGAGGAGAGTAGTTAGGTGCCCACAAAATCACATACAAAAATTTATTTTTAACCTTTTACCTTAATAAATTTATAAATTTATAAGTTTTAATCATTCACCTTATATTATAATACTTTTGACCATTTACTTTAATAAGTTTGTAAGTTTTAGCTCTCACCTCATATTATGATACTTTTAACCTTTCACCTACACGAATTGAAGAAAATAACCTTTTACTTAACATCAAGTTATAATGTTCTGTTAATTCTATTAGTTGATTGTTAGCTCTATTAACTTTATTAACTGACTGTCAGCATTCGTTAGCATTTCATTATAAAAAATATGAAATTTAAATTCAATTTTATTTGTTAGTTCCATTAATAGAATGCTAACGAAATGCTAACAGTTAACTAACAGAGTTAACAGTCAACTAACAGAACTAATAGAATATTATAAACTGGCCTTAAGTAAAGATTATTTTCTTCAACTCATATAAATGAAGGATTAAAAGTATTATAATATATAGTATAAGGTGAGGGGTTAAAACTTACAAATTTATTAAGATAAAAGGTTAAAAGTCTCATAATATAAAATGAATTACTAAAACCTATAAACTTATTAAGGTAAAAGGTAAAAAGTAAAAAGTAAATTTTAACCCAAAACTACATGCCCCTATAGTGAAAATAGTGCTTTTGGGCTCCCGGGCCTTGCATCCTATTATTGCTGCGTTGGGCTTTCGTTTCCATTCCTTTCCCTCGGGCTTCGGGCTTTGCATTTATTGGGCTCATTCTTGTCCTTCTTTATACTTCTTGATGCTTGTATGACTGGGCTCCCTTAGTTGTGGTGGTACCGGACTCGTTGGTTCGAGCCCCACCATCTACGATTCTCCATCTCCATTCCCGTGTGATTCTCCATCTAAAAAAAA